GATTTTTTTTACTTGGATCAATTACCTGCTAACTACCAAGCGAGCCATCTGTGGAGGGGCTGCTTGGCTCCCTCTCACCTGTGCACACGCGCAGACAGATAACATACTGTACCTCTCTGGCCGTCTACCTGTCTGACAGTGCCCCTCCGTCCTAGCGTGCCCACGCCTGAGTCCCTCTCCGTCATCTCCTCCTGCTCTCTCTCAACTTCAGATCCAACTGGGTTTGGGACAATAAAGGTTGCCGGGGGCAACTACCCACTTTGCCGTCCACGTTTCCATGACAACAGTGTTTCCCTCAATTCCCCGTTCAGCTGTGGAGGCTAATTCATTTCCAGCCATCCTTAAATCTGAGAAATCTCAGATCAGAATAATGGTAATCAATTATTTAGAAGAAAGAGGGACTATGAGAGAGAGCGAGGGAGAAGAGATAGAGAGGGACAGAGACAGGGAGGCAGTGCACCCTGAACAATACTTCACCGAACAATTCTTGAATACAAAAGATGAATCGTTATCTGTAGGAGGGTGCTGGTGAACGAGAAGGATGTCAAGATGGAGGGAGAGAGAGAGAGGGAGATGAAAAGAGAGAGGCGGGGAAGAGGCCAGAGAGGGAGGGGTAAAGGAGGGCTGGTATTGATTTGACCCCTTGTCCTCCTCCTGCTGCAATCTCATCCAAACTGGTGAGGGAGTCACTGACACACACACACATTCCCTCTAGTCAATAACACACACACACATTGACACCAGTCAATATCACACACACACATTCCATCTAGTCAATAACACACACACATTGACACCAGTGAATAACACACACACACACACACATTGACACCAGTCGATATCACACAGACATCAATAACACACACTGCCACCACCCAATATCATACACAAGTCAATAACACACACTGCCACCACCCAATAACACACACAAGCCAATAACACACACTACCACCACCCAATAACACACACAAGTCAATAACACACACACACACACGAGTCAATAACAAAAGCAGCCACCACCCAATATCACACACACAAACCAGTCAATATCACACACACAAGCCAATAACACACACACAAAGTCAATAACTTGCACTGCCACCAGCCAATATCTCACACACACACACACACTGCCACCAGTCAATAACACACACAAGTCAATAACACACATAGACCAGTCAATAACACGCACTGCCACCAGTCAATATCACACACACACACACAATGTACAGTGGGGACAAACTTCATGCACTGACTTCCCTGGATTTTCAATATGAGTTTGTTCTAAATACAAGAGCACGTTTTAACAAAAAAAAATCATGCAGGAGTTGAGGCCCAAAACAAAAAAATATTTTTTTTTCTCTGTCATCCTCCTCAGATGGACAGATAATTACTTGACTAAGGCTGACGAATCGGCAGAGGGCTCAGCAGCTCATCGTTTAAATTTAGGTGTGAATCATCTCTGTCGCGGGCCCCTCTGGCCCCCTCTTCCCAGAAGGCGCCATCGCAGTGACGAGTGAGCAATCATTTCTCACTACCCAGGCAGCTTGACGCGTCCTGCAGGGCCTGACACAGATGCTCTCGTTGAGCAACACCTGTGGTCCTGACTCGTCTTGGACCTTCCTGTCTGCTCACTGCAAAGCACTCTGCCTCTTGTTACAGCTATCAGCGCCTGGAAACCTGCACTGAATGAACCCTCTGTGAATCAGGGTAAGCAGGCAGGAACCCAGGGACAGAGAGAGACCGATGCGTGATAGAAAAAGAGAAAGAGATCAAAGAGGAGAAGTTCCACTATGTGTCCTAAATTATTAATGAGCTGTAGAGAGAGCTGGAGAGGGAGGGGGGGCTGTTAAACAGCTATAGTTTTACTATAGCTGCATCAATACTACACTGGGCAATGTGAGATCCTTCACGATGTGGTCACTGCTGTGAGACCGACTCTCTGACTCACACTGACGTCCACTGCGTCTCCTACCATTGGCCAAGTCAGGCTCCAGCTGTCTGTAGTGAGTGCGTGCGGACAGTGGGGTCCTCAGTCCCCACCGAAGAGCTAGGAGTTTTAAGCAGCCAGTCATGAAGGGACCGCAGTATTGGGGTAAGAATAAAGGACTCTTTGTGCTGCCCGAAAAATTATTTTTTTCCATTCTCCTCCAAATTCTATCCATTTAGAAATGCAGTAGAGGCTTCTATCCACTGCACAATTCAGCTGAGGAGATGAAACATCTTACAACAAAGGAAAATGAAATTTCAGCATTTTACCCGTCTTACCAGAGTAGGGAGTGTGTGTATGTGTGTGTCTGGTCTCTCCTCAGAGGTGTCTGTGTCTGTTTCCCCTGGACTGCAGAAATCCACGAAGCTACAAGGGAGACCTCAGAGCTGGAGCAGCAGCAGAGAGAGACAGAGGGAGGGAGAGGAAGAGAGAGAGGGAGGGAGGTAGAGGAAGAGTGAGGGATGCAGAGGGAGAGAGACACAGGTAGAGGGAGAGAGAGAGGGAGAGGCAGAGGCGCAAGCAGAGAAAGAGACAAGAGAGAAAGAGAGAGAAATTATGAAACATAAAAAATCTGTTATGGTTAAAAAAGGCAGTCTCCCTGTACCCCTGTTTCAAGCTTAGAAAACAGCTCAGGACAGGAGGCTAATAAGCGTCCAGTGAAATCGAATCCAAACTCCAATTCACCCCTGGATTAAACGATTCCCCATGGGCGTGGCAGATGTCAGCATTGCCAAACTCCGACATCCCTTTCCCTGCCACGGAAACGGCTTGCTCTGGGCTCCTCCGGGAGCCGGCCGGATGATGTTCCCAGATCACTAGGGATTGGAGTCACCGGGGGAGCCGAGCCGGTCTGAGCCGAGCCCCGCCCTCCTGGGACCTATCTGACGAGCTGCCCGCAGACTCAACAGGGGGGTGTCCGACCACGATCGCAGAAGAGTGGGGTCACACTTGTCGCTGTCGCTAGCCGGGTGGCCCACGGGCATGTATCTGCCAGTGTCTGCGTTTCAGGGTGAAATCCCATCAAATTAAAGGCAAAAATATTAACCTCGCCCCCTCTAAAAAATACCTTTTTCTTTAAGCTGAAAGGGGTCACTGCCTCGTTAGTTTAATTAGCTCACTCCACTTTCGGATCAGCTCCCTCCCTGGTTAGGAGTTCTAATTAAACACAGAGGGAGCTCTGGAGAGCAAAGGATTATTAATTCATCCTGTCGATCTATTTGAAGATCAGACTGCAGAGCAACACTGGAGGCTCACACTTTCACACGACAAGGAGAAATCAACCCCCAAAAGAAAAATGAACTGCGGTAAAAACACAAATTGCCAAAAAGACTCGGACCGTGTTACTGATGGAGAGAAGTGTGCTGCTACCCCAAACCCTGCTGCTGCTGGTGTCACTGCTGGCTCTGCCCTGGGTGGTTCATGCAGAGCTGGTCAGTGCACTGCCCAACTGGGCACTGCTCAACCGGACACTGCCCAACTGACACTGCTCACCAGGGCACTGCCCAATTGGGCACTCCTCAACCGGACACTGCCCAACTGGGCACTGCTCAACCGGACACTGCCCAACTGGGCACTGCTCACCAGGGCACTGCCCAACTGGGCACTGCTCACTGGCACTGGCCAACTGGGAACTGCTCAACCGGACACTGCTCAACTGGCACTGCTCACCAGGGCACTGCCCAACTGACACTGCTCACCAGGGCATTGGCCAACTGGACACTGCTCACCAGGGCATTGGCCAACTGGACACTGCTCAACCGAACACTGCCCAACCAGGCACTGCTCAACAGGGCACTGCCCAACCAGGTGGTGCTCACTGGGTACTGCTCAGTGGATACTGCTCAACAGGACACTGGACACCATGTGGTGCTCACTGGGCACTGCAAGGAAGGGCTTGTAGGGGAGCACAAGTCCCATCTCTTTGCAGGACCTGGGGGGAGGTGAAGAGATTCAGCACCCTGGACAGCAGCTGATGTGGCCAGCCCATCGCCACACACCTCCCCTCGGCCACCTTCCAGGGCAGCTCTTGTGAGCTCACGGCTCTACCAGGCTCTCATCTCGCACTGCAGAGAAGTCTCCGTGCGCAGTCCCGCGTCCCCATTTCAGCACCGACCGTGCCAGAGCAGAGGGCAGGGACCTCAGCCAGCCATGCCCTCCAGGCTGCCAGGCCTGTCCTGTCCCGCCCCTACACTCGCTGAGACCCTGGCTGCCTGACAGAGCTCTTTCCCCGCTAGGAGAGCTGAGAGTGACACCAGAGACAGCCAGGCTGCTCTCTGCTGCCAGGAAAGGAGCAGCACAATGAAGACTTTCAGGAAGAGGGTGAGGGGGAGCAGCCAGTACTTTGGATTCCCTCGGCAAACAGCTGGGTGAGATCCTTGGATGAATGAAGTGCTAACTGGATGGGCTCAATAGCCTCCTCTCACTCATTTGTAACTTTTCTTGTGTTCTTATGTTCCTGATGACAGAGGCTATGGAAGGCTCAGTG